TACTGCTATTATCATACATGGGTTGAGACGTACTGGAATTATTTAACGGCTGAAACTGAAAGTAGTAAAAATTAATCTAAATGAAAAACAGGCCATGCAAAGAAGTATGCAAGGAGTAAATTTAACCAGTAGTAGTGTTCGCCTACAGTATTTCAACGACCTCCATAATTTGACAGACGGAAACTAGTTTTAACAAATTTGAAGACATCACAATCTAATTTAGGAAGCTGGGTCGTGTTTTGATCAATTTTTGTGTAGTAACAGGCCATGCCAAGAAGTGTGCAATGAGGAAAATTTAACCAATACAGAAGTGTTCGCCTACAGTATTTCGATGACCTCCGTAATTGACGGACGGAAACTAGTGTTAACAAATTTGAAGACATCACAATCTAATTTAGGAAGCTGGGTCGTGTTTTGATCAATTTTTGTGTAGTAACAGGCCATGCCAAGAAGTGTGCAATGAGGAAAATTTAACCAATACAGAAGTGTTCGCCTACAGTATTTCGATGACCTCCGTAATTGACAGACGGAAACTAGTGTTAACAAATTTGAAGACATCACAATCTAATTTAGGAAGCTGAGTTGTGTTTTGATCAATTTTTGTGTAGTAACAGGCCATGCCAAGAAGTGTGCAATGAGGAAAATTTAACCAATACAGAAGTGTTCGCCTACAGTATTTCGATGACCTCCGTAATTGACAGACGGAAACTAGTGTTAACAAATTTGAAGACATCACAATCTAATTTAGGAAGCTGGGTCGTGTTTTGATCAATTTTTGTGTAGTAACGTAATCTTATATTTCTTAATCTAAAATATAATTTGTTTTTGTAAGATTATTTTTTGGAAATACCACGCAGCTGCATCTTCACAATGTTGGTTTGGAATAAAAATTGCAAAAGTCAATCTCATAGGAAATTATCATTATATTTACACTAGCAAATCCATCTTTATTACATTCACCAGGCAGTGAAGAAGAGTCAGATACAACTCCACAAATCATGTACTTGAGATTAGACAAGTGAGGGAAACTTTGCAAGGACAGCAAGATTAGCCAAATGTACAGAGATCTTTGACAGCCCTCGGGTTTATTGTCCCATCTGAACGGCTAGACACTTTTTTCATGTCAATCAAGCATTTTCATCGCTGATCCACCCAAACTACAGCTGAATTTCCTAATTAAATACTGTAGGAACCACAGACATCTGATTGAAAATTTAAATGAATTTACATAAAAAATTTAGAAAACTTCTTTACAATCCCTTTAAGGACCGAACAGAATCCCAAGCTGTAGTAATCAGTATTAATTTATTGATATAACACCTATCCTACTAACAGTTCCTTTCATGTCAATCACTCAGACCTGTATCACTGACAGGGGGAAACCGAGTCCAAAAATTCATAGGGACTAGACTTGCTAGGCGATCTATACTGCATTGTAATTAAATATAACTTAGGCACAGATTTTAATAGCTTGACATTGTGAAGATGAGAAAATGTATATAGCTAGTCGACAGGGGTGCCTAAAAATGCCTAATGAAGTCAAGGTATTAGATAAATATATTTTAAAACAGTAAATACACCTACCCTACTTCCAGTACCTAGAAACCTGGCCTCTAATAATTCTTGTTTACGTGGATCTAAACTATGTAAACTCGTGTTGTCCATCTCTGTTACACCAGAGCCTGAAAAAATCAAATACCAGCAGGTCAGTCATGGATGACAAAATGGCTGCCTTGATCCTTTTGCATTAGTGGTGTAGTTTGAATAATTATTTGCCAACAAAAGCCCGAATTATTCCTTAACCTCTCTGCAATTATTTAAGAATAGATTGTTGGTCTCGATAGCCTTATTGGTGTGGAAACGCAATCGACTTCGTCATTTATGTATGTTTGTGGTGTGATTAATTGTGTTCACAAACCAGTAAAGCTATCGAGACCAACGTTGAATTCTTAAATATCCACCAATATTGTTTCAAAATTTTTAGAAATAAGAGTCAATTTTGAAATGAAACAGAACAAGTTTCTGTGCCCTACAGCTTCAGATCCAATTAGGGAAATTAGTGCAATGAGGGAAATTTTCCAAATACATGGGCTCATATAGGCCTATGCCATCACCTTCAACCAGCGTCATAAACTGAGGTGAAAATCAATGCAGTCATTAAACCCTATCGGACATTAGCAAGCACGAGTCGAGCTCACAGACTCCAAAGTAAATTTTCAAGCCATCGGTAAAACAAAGCAACAATGGCCACATTTGAAGCTTTTACATTTTAGTATACAAATTGCTAAGTTACCACCTGGACCTTATACTTCCATGCTACACACACGTAGAAAGCTATTTGGCTTTGATTACGATTGCAGAATGAAATTCTCGTGAGAGCAACGCCGTGAAATTTTCTGAGTGCAAAATCATAATGGATTTGTGTTCTTCGAAATGGCATAGAGACATAAAACATGCATTTCATAAACTAGAAAAATTTTACTTTGGAAATGACACTAATGAAATTTATAAATCGTATGTTTGCAAATCTTTTAAATCTAACAGAAGTAAAGTAAGCCTACTGATAAAAATAACTAATGAATTTGCATTTGAAAAATTCACAAATAAGCCAAATATTAGCAGACACATCTGCAGGCAGCCTGGTCTAACCAACCCGGGTCCAAATTTATACATTTTCATGATCAGACAAAATTCGAGGTTTGACATTTCCATTTTGGGTATTAATTTCATGACGATGTGAAAAGCATGATTGCGAACGATTCGCCATTTGTAATCAAAATTGATAAAAGAAAAGGGTTCGATTCGATTTGTAGCTACGAAAGTCGAGCTAATGTGAACAATTTTCCATTTTTACCTTGCCCTGTAGTTTGGTTTCTTACTGGAGACCGATTTACAGTCCAAGATGGCGGGTATCTACCGCCACTGTACATCCCTTAAAAGGTCTTCAAATTGAGGCTTTGGAACATGCCGTTCTAGTAAATCGATGATTTAAACATTTTTCCCCATTTCTATCCAATTTGAAAGAATAGAATTCTTTCAAGCCCAAGAACTCAGGTCTGCAAGATGGGCTATATTTCGCTGATAAACTTTGTTAGTAGCTGTGACGTCATAAGGAATATCTCGAAATGCATTTGCCGGAAGAAAAGAGTAAATATTCCATATTTTTCCGCTTTTTCCGAATTTAATCGTCAAAAAACGTTACCCTGGTCTTTTGTGAACAATTGTATCTCATTCTTACCTGGGTTGTTTGGATGTGGGTTATCGGTAGCCATCGGTATTTTCCGGAACAGGGGATACCCTCTTCCCGATGATCCCAAGGAATTCCCGCCTTGAAGACCGGAAGTGTTAAATATAGTAACAATGGACATTATGTCAGAATGACCTCGTTAAAGGTATACATACCTCAAAAAATTTTCTTTGTCCAAATGATAGAGTTCCTTTTCAGGTATTCATAACTTTTTTCAGAATTGGAATCAGACGTTTGGTTCTCCTGCAATGGAGTAAAAACACACCGTGCATATTTAGAATGCTATTATTGGTGGTGCACGTGGGTCATTTGTGCCCACAGAAAATAGCCTCGAGCTGTGTAATTACTTGATATATTTGTCCAAAAACTAAGGGGAGGGGGGGGGGGGGGACACTCAGTCCTCCATGGGAGTAATGTACCTTTTGTGTTCCCTTCCCCCC